CGCGAGCAAGGCGCGCGCTGCGGGACACACCATCCCCCGCCGGGGTGCAGGGGGGGTGAAAGGGGGAGGGGAGAGCCGCCCGGACGGAGCGGCTCCCCCCGCCCGATCAGCCAACCCCGCTGCCGCAGGACAGCTCCCGCTCCTGAGCCAACGCCGCTATCTCTGCTCCTCCCTCCCTCTCCGAACCGGACCGGCAACCAGCATCCGGGTCCGAAGCTCCCCCCCCCGGCACGGAACGCGATGGACTCGCCCCGACCGACAGAGGCGGGCGGCGGGGATACCCGGCCCCGCCCATCGGCGCACGGGCGAGGGAGGGGGGGAGGGGAGCGCACCGCCCTCAGGCCACGCCCCTCTGACACGCCCCAGGCCACGCCCTCCGCCTCAGGCCACGCCCCCGTTCCCGCTCGCGCCGTGTGGGCCGTGGGCGCCATGGCGGCGGGGCCTGAGGGGGCGGCGGGGGGCGACCGGCCGAGCCCCCCCAACGGCGGGTTCCAGTGCCCCGCTGACCCGTCCCGCTCCGTGAGCCGGGCCTCGCAGGGCTCTGAGGGCCCGAGCTGGGCTGGAGCCGCGGCCATAGGATCCAAAGCGTGGTGAAAGGCGGGAGTGGAGGCCTGTGGTACTGTGGGTTCCTGCGGCATGGCGGGCTCTCACCTGAGCACCGGCAAGTGAGCAACAGCAGGCGATTTCACCACTGCAAGCAGTGACGGACAATATATACTGTATATAGACAACATACTGTGTAAGCTCTGCACAAGTTACAACATTTGGCACTTTCCAGTTTCAAACCGTTGCTTCAGTTCATCAAAAAGGTCTCAAAATTCAGTCCTCTCCCAAAATACCCAGCTGGGAGTCTCTACAAATCCAACAGGCAGCATGTAATATTATAGAATCATAGAATGGTTAAGAGTTGGAAGGGACCTTAAAGATCATCGAGTTCCAACCCCAGCATCCAACCCATTAATGAACAGACTACTACCCAAATCAGACATTTTTCCTCAAAAGCCTGCTCCAAGCATCCTTTTATGTTGATAGTAAACCACCCAAACCTGGAAGGGGGTGTATCTTGCCTGACTTTAGAGAACTGACCAGAAAACTGAAATCATCACTTTAAATTACCTTTATAGTCGGCAGAGAGAAATGTGCACTTTCAGGGCTTGATTCATCTGGCCAATTTTAAACATCTGTGTATTGCCCCCGCACTATGCTTTCAAATGAATTTTGCAACCCTCATAGTACTTTTATGTGGACAATTATTTCCCTTCTATAATTAAGAATACAAGATAGCATCAACAAGCTTATTGAGATAAAAATACAGGACACATATATAGTTTCTCTCCTATCTACAAGGCCTTCATGCTTTCTCAGGAAAAAAAAATCAGATTTATTCAACTTGACTTACTCTTGTAACAGACCTGGTAGAAACTATTAATCTGTTTACAAGAAATTTATTATTTATGCAATATCTTGAGGGGTGTTAAAGGGAAATTTGTAGTATTCAAGTTCCTAACATCCTTTTCCTCCCTTTTTAAGGAAGGCGCTTCATCTGCCTTTCTTCTGATCTGCTGGATCTCCACATGACATCTACCCCTTTCTACTCCAGCGGCATAAGAAATATCCAACCTATCTCCTGTTCTTTTCCTCCTCCAGAAAGGGATCTTACCCTTTGGTTGTGGGTTTCATTGTATTGCCCTCCCAATTATGATTTACTTTTTTAGTGAAAACCAAGGTAAGAAGTTCCTAAACTGTAATGAGATACACTTTCTTCATAGTACAGGGCAAAAAGTAGGCATAACTATCTGCTTTTAAATCTGTGTATCCCTTTCATCCAATAATTCATATTCTCATATCTTTTCTAATAACTCATTTAGGGTCATTCTCTTCTGCTCCAAGTATTTCCTGGACTGCCTTTGAAAAACACTTCCCTGAGCCTTGCCTTGCTTCATAGCTGCTGTCCTGGCCCCAAAGTCCAGCCCTCGCTTTCTTTGTTCCATAATTTTCAATTCCATTTTTGATCCATTTTGTCTTCTCACTAAATTATAACTACTTTGACCATAATCTTCATTCACCCGCAGTGAAATATTTTTCTTATTCTTCTTGATCTATCAGATATCATTAACATTATTGCTTCCTGAGTCCTTTCCTTTTGGATTTCAGTGTCTCTGTAATCACCTGCATCTTCCAGCATGGGTAATTCTCACCTCTTTTCTTTCATAAGTATCACTGTCTCTTAGATTTCTGTTACACATTTTTTTCTGAGTTTTTTTTTTTTCTTCATGATGTCATTTATTACTTGGCTTCATCTTCTTTCTCAGTGTGATTGCTAAATTGCCCCTTCTCACAAGAGTACTTTCCTTATATCTAATCTCACACACTATTGCATATTCCCAGTCCACACAAAGAAAACCAAAGTGATTTGTCCTCTTGAATTCCCTTTTTTTTTTTTTTTTTGTTACTCTAATGAGTTCCCCTGGCCTTCTTATCCTTTGGATTTACCATAGCCACATTATTTTTAGTTCTTCGTACAACTCCAAGATTGCAAGTATTTCAAATCAGATGCTATGCTAATACTGACAAAGATGCATAATGCAAACAGCCAGCACACTTTGAATGTGATTTTTAATAATAATAATAACAACCATAATTGTAATGCCGCTTTCCAAACCTTCAGCTGAAACTGTGCTATTGCAGCACCAGGTTGGGCCACTGTTTTTTCAGCTAGTCAGGTCGGACGAATATGAGATAAATTCAGTATTTTAAATCCCAAACATTTGAAAATTCTCTACAATATATCATATGTTTGCAATACAAGGTCACATTGCTGCATTAAATCACTGAAATTCATTGCAAAAACTGTTTTCCACAAATTGATACCCAATAATAAAGTACCAGCCTTGACCAGAATTGGATTTTTTTTGGCTAATTATGACAAAAATCAAGGAATAAAGTTTAATTCCACCCACAGTATGGAATTGTAATGTAATGTCAAAAAAAAAGACAGGTTAAGAATTGACTAATTGAGGGAGGTCATCCCCCCCTGTACTCTGCCCTGGTGAGGCCATATCTGGAGCACTGTGTCCAGCTCTGGGCCCCCCAGTTCAAGAAGGACAGGGAACTACGGGAGAGAGTCCAGCAAAGGGCTGTGAAGATAATCAAGGGACTGGAGCACCTCTCTTATGAGGAAAGGCTGAGAGACCCAGGTCTGTTTAGCCCAGAGAAGAGAAGACTGAGGGGAGATCTTATCAATGCTTATAAATATCTAAAGGGTGGCTGTTAAGAGGATGGGGTCAGTGGTAGCAAGTGACAGGACAAGGGGCAGCAGGCACAAGCTGGAATACAGGAAATTCCATCTCAACATG